CAAATTGTTTTTTATGGAATAAGTCATGCAATCCCACTATTCCATAAAACAACATCCCTAACATTAACAACTACTTTTTCTCTTTTGCGTTTTAGGTTATCTCAAAGATAAAAAAGTGTATAGAAAAATAAATGAAAGAAGGAGAAAAGAAACTCGATGATCAATAAGTTTTTTATCCTAAATTATTTCCAAGGTAAAGTGAACATTTAAGTAGGTTAAAGGGGTAAACATTACTCATTGATGTATCAAAGAGACATAATAATTATTTTTGTATTAGCAAAGATTAAACTCTAACTTATAAAGTCTATATCAATGGGAAAAAAATTCGACTTATTTACACTATAAAAACGATGAAATGATTTTTTTTCTTGATTACAAACAAGTCCAAAAAATTATGGCTCAAAATCTGAAATTTGTTTATGTCTTGATCATCCTTTCCTTTTTCATCTTTCTCATTTCAGCCAGAGATATTAATATATGTGAGTAATCCTTTTTTCTCCTCATTTTAATTTTTATTTCATAATTTTTCACATATAATTCCATTTATAATCTTTCACATACATTTCCAGTCATTTTTAGTAACATTCCTTTTAATTTTTCATTATATCACTACAGGTATCCCATGTAAATTTGACTCAGATTGCAAGTATCCTTGTTGGAGTGAAGAGTACACTCATTATTATTGCGAGAATTACACTTGCTTTTGCTATATATAGCTAAGGTTAAGAGTAATCTTAATTTACTTTTGTGCTTTTTATAGTCTTTCGGAGTTATGGAGAGTAGTATTTGAACATTTGTAATAAGCTATCATCTCTTCCAAAGGCAAATGTTATTGTGTAATAATTTTAAAGACAATAATTTATTGTACTTCTATATTTAGGGTCTATTTCTTTAGTTTTCGAAAGAAAAAAAATTTCCATAAACTTCTTTAGCAAATGTGATCTTCATAAAATCGAAAAAAATGTCCTGTTTAGCTATAAGTCTAAAAACAATTATTTTACTTTCGAAAAATAATATTAAACTATTCGGTTTAATATTGATAAAACAAATTCTCTTTTGTACAAAATAAAAACAATGGACATAACAAAAACAGGGAAATTCACAATGACTTCTAATTTTTTATTGCTGCAATTCAAACCTTGTTCATGCTTTATAAAATCTATTTTTTTATTGTTGCAATTCAGACCTTGTTCGTGCTTTATAAAAACAGAAAACTAAAGAAACAGATTTAATTAAATAAAATTCAATAATATATATGTCGACAAATAAATACATTATTAAAAAGTTTCGAATTGAATTGCAATTGGTTTATAGAAGATGTTAAATCTGTACAAAACATTTTGCAAGAGACATTTAAAAAATATTGAATATTCTACAAAATTAAAAATAAAAATAATTAAGTAAATAAAAAATGAACTATGAATAGCTTATTAACTTGCATGATACGCCTATTTTAATTGGATCTCTAACAATTAAACCATATTTGATAGATTTTAGAACATGATATGACTTATAGATGAATGCTTCCAATTAAAAAATAAAATTCAAAAACATCAAAATCTAATAAACATAAATAAATATATATTTTTAAACATAAAAACAACTAAATAAATTGACCAAATTTTTTTAATCACACTCCTTAATCAAACATTAAATTAGAAGAATAAGGAAATAAATGTCAAAAAGACAGAAACATATACACACTTCTACCTTTTGCTTTGAGAATGAACGATGGAGAACAAACAAAATATAGATAACGTCAAAAAGATTAAAAAATTATAAATGCAGCCTTTGCTACGAGGAGAAAGAACGACAATGAAAAAAAGTGATAATATAATAAGCATAAAGATTAGTATAATAAGAACAGAGGAATGTAAAAAAGGAAAAATCTTATATGTACCTCTAGTATATTGAAAATGAAAAAAAAAAACAAGAAGAAGAAAATAAAGTAACATAACAATAATTCAAATTAATATAATAAGAAGGAAAAGGTGTTAAAAAGATGAAAAATCTTATAAGTAACTATACATTTTGCTTTAGAATCAAATAAATCGGTAATAATTTTTGAAAGGGGAGGAATACGCTTCCTCCCAAAAAACACTTACTCTTCATCTTAGTTATTCAATCTTGAAAAATTCAATGGTTTAGATGTACTCATCAATTCAAACCATTGGATTTCCCAAGAATGAATGATCATGAAGAGTAAGTGGATCCCTACCCTTTTTCAAAACACGTAAACAAAATAAATAAAAAGTAAATTACACTCACACCTCTGAGTTTTAGTGAAATTACATAAATTATTATTTCATGTTTTATCATTAGATACACCAACTACCCCTAATAACAACACTTCCTTGTTTTATCATTAAACAAATATCCCCTAATTTATGACATACATTACATTAACTACTTACTCAATGAGATATAAGTGTATTTTTTAAAAACAAAAAATGTGCGGTGAGTATAATTAAGTTAAACAAAATATTACATACTTTGTAGATACGTCCAAATAGTATAATAACCAATGTGTCTTCATTATTTTTGCTTCGTTACATAAATACATAAGAGTTGCGTTATTTAAACATCTCTTTAGAATTATGAATGTATTTTGTAATCAACCAAAAAATAACAAAGATAGTGACTCTTATATATTTGAATTGTCTACACAATATACAATATTTTGTTTAACTTAATTACACTCATTACACGTTTTTTTATAAATATTACACTTATATCTCATACATTGGTAGTTCGTGTAATGTATAGGGATGGTTTGTGCGTGAAGAAAACAAAGAGAGGTGATTGTATAATTTAACTAAAACTAAAACTCAGGTGTGTGAATATAATTTAATCTAAAAAAAATATAATGAGTGATATGAATGTAACATGTGTCAAATCTTTGGGAGAAATTATCTCAATGTTGTATATTATATTTATATGTCTCTTTGATACAAGATAAGCCACTCTTTCATTAAACCCACTCATTAAGCCCATATCTGTAATTGGTTTTAGAAGTTTTATGACACCATGTCAGAATTCGCAATTAACAACGTTCATTCAACAACGCTTCCTAGCACAATGTTGTTAAATACAGGGTGAAAAATAATTAGCATCACTCTTTTAAGCAAATGCTGTTAAATTTGACATTCAACATCGCTATTCTAAGCAAGCGTTATTGATTTGAATATATTCAACAACGCTTGCTTAAATGAGTGTTGTTAAAGGTGACATATCAATATCGCTTGATCTTTTGAGTGGTAGTTAACATAGTTGTGGGTGGAACTTTTGAGTGAAACTTTGTTACCACACTTATTTCATCATATATTGAATGTTGGATGCACCATAGTCACCAACCTTGTCGTTGGTTGTAAGATACAACTAGCTTGTGAATAGTGTTTTAATGAATTATTATTTTTAGCATAATTTTTGAACCGTTCTTTAGAATTGGACAAATTATATATGCACTTGGGGTAGAAAATTTGAATCTATTCAAAAAATTTCACTTCGTCGGAAAAGTCCCTTATTAGAATTCAACAAAAAAAAAAACCTTTTTAATATTTATTTTTTATTTTTGAAGTTTTATTGTGATTTCGTTTTGATATTTTTTTAAAGGTGACATATCAATAGTACTTATTACAATGAACGTTGTTAAAAGTCACACATTAAATATCATTTGCTTTAGAGAGTGCTGTTAAAAGTCATACATCCAAACAACGTTTGTTTGTTTTAGTGGGCGCGATCTTTGCAGATTTAAAAACAAAATCTCACATACAATAATACACATATCATTCAGTATTCTATTTCTCTTACTCTTCTTCTCTTAGTTTCACTCTTCAAGCAAGCTATTAGCTTTTGGTTTCTCTCTTCGAGTATAAGGTGAATCGTTGTCTTATTTTAACTCATTTATTTCTCTTTGATTCGCTCTTGTTGCTTGCACTTACGTTTATGTTAACTGCTTATATAATACATGAAATGTCAAAGTTGAATCTATGTGAAACTGTTGATGATTTACCAAACTTGCAATCTCTACATGTATTTCTTGTATTTGGTTATTATTTTTTCATCATATTTTTATGTAAATTTTGATTTGATTCTTATTATATTGAATCTGAATTGTGTCTTTCTGTCCTCTTATTTCTTCAGTTAAGGGAGATAAGAAATTCATGGATTTGTCCTCTACATATTCATTGCTTTCGTCCCTTTCGTTATTGCATATAATCTTTTGTGTTAATGGATTTGAACGAACGGAGACAAGTTCATGCAATGGTTTATAAATTGGGTTTTCAGAATGATGTTTCTATTGTCAAATCTCTTGTCAATGTGGTGGAATTGTGCATGTTTGTTATGTATTTGATATAATGTCTTAGAGAGATTTTGCCTTATTTAAATTCAATGTTGTTAAAGGTGACATATCAACAGCGATCATTACAATGAACGCTGTTAAAAGTCATGTACATATCAAAAGCGTTCATTACAATGAGCGCTGTTGAATCTCACCTTATATGCTATTGCACTCACATAGACAACGTCCGACAGCGCTGTTATATCTCTAAAATGTGTGTTGTTGAACTGCAACTCTGGCATAGTGTAGGTTGTCAGAAATTAGATCATTTGTTTTGTAATCTAAAATAAATAGTCTATATAATTGTATTAAATATATAATGTCTACCTTAATTAAAAATTATGACTTTCTAACCTATAACAAATATAAAAACATGATACATGTTTTGTTCTTAAAAAATGGAAATCCAAATGAGTCCCCCTTAACAAATATATAATTATATACACGCTGGTTGATAATATGTTATGACATAAACAAGTTATAAAATTACAATATAATATAATTGTTAAGGTTTCATCTCAAAATCAATTAGAAATAAGAGAATAAGCCCAAGAGATATTTAAATCATTCCCGAGACAATGAGATAGACGATGTATGACTTACTTCCCAACATGCACTCTCCATATAAGCATGCCGGACCAGGCGAATGGTTACTTTTGATCCATAACTAAATGGCATCTTTTGGCCCATGACAAACGGAAATAAATTGGGTCCTGACTCTCATACCATGTCAAGGTTTCATCTCAAAACCAATTGACAATGAGAGGAGTATCTCAACAGGTATTTAAATCCTTCCTGAGACAATGAGACAGACGATGTATGACCTAATTTCTAACAATAACAATAATCAAGTAAAATATAAAACAACAAGATAACAAATCCAAATCATCAGGAGGTGGTGGTATATTAAGGGATCACAATGGCTTGGTCTTAGCTTGATTTTCAACTTATTTGGAGGTGCATAATGCTCTTTTTGTCGAGCTTCATTCGGCTATCAAAGCATTAGACATGGCTTTTAATAGAGGTTGGTCCAATCTTTGGCTTGAATGTGACTCTATGTTGGTAGTTGATATCTTCAAAGGCAATTCCAATGTCCCTTAGAAGGTACAAAATGTTTGGATAAAGTGCAAAAGGAAGTTAGCTAATACGAATTTATGCATTTCTCACATCTATAGATAGGGTAATGCTTGTGTGGATAAGCTTGCTTCTTTTTGTGTGGTTAATAGGAGAAACTCCTTTTGGAATCACTTGCCTAATTTTATAAAGGATGTCTATCATAGGAATAGGCTTGGTTAATAGGAGAAATTCCTTTTTGGATGCTCTTGGATAACGACAATTCTAAGCTTGAAAACCAAACTCTTTGTGGGATTCTCGCTTAGGCGGCACCTGTTGCCCAAGCCAGAGTGTCGCCCAAGCCCAAGTCTGCCTCTTGCTTGAGCGAGAGGATAGCGCTCAAGCGTCAATTCTAGGATTGTAACCAAACTCTTTGTGGGTCTCTCGCCTGAGCGAGAGGATAGTGCTCAAGCGACAATTCCAAACTTAAAGATCAAACTCGTGGGTTTCTCGCCTAGGCGGCACCTGTCGCCCAAGCGAGACACATAACTTCATAACTAGTTTATGTTGATGCCTTAAGATTTTTTGTGTGACTGTTAAATTTTTATATATTTGACCTCTTAATAAATATATATATATATATTCATATTCGGTTCTTTAGCACCTTTTGCCTAAAATAAATTATGGGTAAAATAAAATATAGATTTTTTGTATTATTAAGATTATCTCTTCAACTTATGTCTATTTGTTTTGGGATCTACACTTGAAACATACTGTCAAATTGATCATACATCAATTGTACAAGACATTTTGTAACATTCTATACTTCGGAAAATGTTAAATAAAGAGTAATTAATTTTTTCATGCAATCCCAGTATTACATACGGGAGAGAATTCACTTACTCTAATAGTAAGTTTTTTAAATTTACTCCACATCGTAGCTATTAATTTTAGAGATATTCAATGGTTTAGATCTACTTACTAATTTAAAATATTGGATTTCCCAAGAATTGATGACTAAGATTTGAAGTAAATTTAAGAGTAAGTGAATTTCCTCTCATTACATTACATGTTACCTTTTCTCTTTAGATTTGGTATAGGAAAAATAATTAGTCTCAGAATCATAAAAAAAAATTAATTATGTGAATTTTTTATGTCAAGGTTTGGACAAAATTTAAAGTCTAAAATAAATTGGGAGGTGAGAATAAAAATAATACACATTGCATATCAAAAGAATTGGTGCATTATATTATTTTTAGAATGAAATTTAAATAAAATATGTTTCAGACAAATTATAATAACGTAATATATACTTTTTTCTCATGAGCTTTAAATGATTGTACCCTTTTCTCATCTCATGTTACACTTTATTTCAATTATACATCAATTATTTAATTATATAAAACAATGATTATTACGAGTAACAAAATATTAATAAATTTATATCTAGAATAATAATCATTGATAATCAATTGATTTAAAAAAGAATGAAAAACAATTTCATATGTTACTTGTGAAATTTAAAAAAAAATATTTGAGCCCTCATAAACTATGGGTCATGTGTCGTGCATCTGGCACCGACTACGCTAATGATGAAAAACTATAGAGAAAAATAAATATAAATAGAAGGAAAAACTCAATGATCAATAGAATTTTTCATCCCAAATTATTTCTATGGTCGAGTGAACATTTAGGTAGGTTAAAGGGGTAAAGCTAAGGTGACTCATTGATGTATCAAAGATACATAATTATTTTAATATTAGCTAAGATTAACCAATAAGTTATGAAGTCTATATCAATATTTAGTAGACGTGAACAAAATACAACTTATTTACACTATAAATATGATCAAATCATTTGTTTGCTTCTTTATTATATACAAGTCTGAAAACTATGGTTCAAATTCTGAAGTTTGTTTATGTCTTGATCTTTTTCTTTTTCATCTTTCTCATTTCAGCCACAGATGATATATGTTAGCGATCCTTTTTTCTTCTCATCATTTTCTTAATCTTTCACATATACTTCCATTTAGTTTTATTAACATAGCTTTTAATTTTGCATAATATCACTACAGGTCGCCCATGTACAAATAAAAAAGCTTGTGAGATTACTTGTTTGAGCGGTGGTTATGATGATTTCGAGTGCATAGATCAAATATGCACTTGCTACTAATAGCTAAGGTTATTAAGAGTAATCTTAATTTGCTTATGAATATTTGTTAGTATTTTGAGTTATTGACATTGATAACTTGTAAGAATATATGTAACAAGCTAAAACTGAATTTTAGATAAAAATATTTCTCAGACAATAATTTAACTTATTGTACTTCTACATTTAGGTCTGTTTTTTATTGGGATCTTATCTATTATTAGAGAGTTTAGTAATGGATCCAAATTCTGAAATGTGGTACTAATGAAATCTAAGGGTATAGATTTTTTTATTATTTTAGGGCTCAAATTATTTTTATTATCTCTCACAATTCTCGTACAGGAGAATCCTGGAAAGGAATCCTACATTATTTCTTTACACTTAAAAAAACGATTCTCTATAAATGTATTTGGCATAAACAACCTTGGTAAAACCGAGAAATAATATTGTTTTTAGCTATAAAATCAAATCAAAAAGATTTTATATTACGTCTAATTGGTTAAATTGCCTGAATTGAATAGGTAAGATGATTTCATATAAAACTAATAATTATTTATAAATATGTAATTATATATTAATGCAAAATTTAATATAATAAATAATTATGTATATATAATTATATTGAACTAACATCTCTTCAACTTTTTTAGACCGGAGTACAATAAAATATTATAGTAGTGTTCTATTTTTTTAATTTTAATGGAATCGTTCTATTCACTTTCTGTAATATTCTGGTTTAACACATTCGATCCAAAGATTACCATGGCTGAAAATAGTATAACCCTCATTCAGTTAATATTGCAAAACAGAGTTTTTCCAAGTGTGGTCAATAATTGAACCGGTTGGATCGCTCTATCCGATCCTCAGCTAATAGTCTAAAAACCATTGTACTTTGGAAAAACAATTTTCAGCTATTTTGGTGTAATATTAGATAAAAGAGTAAATTACACTCACCCCCCTGAGTTTTAATGAAATTACACAAATCACCCCTAAATTTATACATGCATTACACTGACTACCCCTGTATGTTATAAAAGTGTAATATTTTAAAGAAAAAACGTGTGATGAATGCAATTAAGTTAAACAAAATATTGTGTATTGTGTAACACTTCAAATAGTACAAAAACGAGTGTTTATTTATTATTTTGTGTCATTAAAAAATACATTAATAATTTCAAATAAATGTTTAAATAACTCTTATATTATTTTATAACGAGTCAAATAATGAAGATGTATTGACTCTTATATTATTTGAATTTGTCTATATAATATACAATATTTTGTTTAATTAATTGCACACATCATACATTTTTTGTTTAAAATATTACACGTTTATATCATGCAGATGTAGTCAGTGTAACATATGTACAAATTTAAGGGTGGTTCGTGTAAGGACAAAAAAGTGAGGAGTGGTTTGTGTAATTTCACTAAAACTCAGGGAGTATGAGTGTAATTTACTCTAGATAAAATTATCTTATATATAAATTAAAATAATGGACATAATTGTCTCAAATTGATTCTCAAGGATCATTGATTTTATAACATAGGAAAAGAGTGATGTGTTATTTTTTTTCCTTGTTTTTCTAGTATTTATAGCATAAAATCATCCTATTCTTATCCAAATTCAATCAAATCTTTTCCTATATAGTTCAAAACTAATTTATTTAAAACGATTAAAAGCTAATGGACACAAAAAAAATATTTCCAATCAACACAACTTAATTCGAAGCTACCATGACACACGGGAAACAATTGAAAGCATAAAACAATTGAAAGGCTAAATAGACTCCATGGCCGAATTGCCTCCTAGAGGACACAACACAATATTTTCAACCACCACAAATAAAAAATAAAGCAACCAATTTAGAATAATGTTATTAATATTAAAAATAATAAATAATATAATAACTACTTTTATTTAAACTATTTGTTAAAATAAAATGAATGACTCGGTGATACATAATATTTTAAAAGTATAAACAAAGATAGTAGTTGTATGTTTGATCATTCATAACAATATTTTGGTGAAAAATAAGTCACGTTTTCATTAAAAATATAATTTAAAAATAAAATTGGTCAATATGATTAATACTATTCAATTGAAAAATGATTGGTATTATCAGTTTTGGCTAATTTTTATTGGTACGATTGCATGACCGATATAACTGTTGTATCATATCAATATAATGACTGATTCACTTATTTCCCAATTGAACTGACTGATATAAACCAGTTTTCACAACTCTGATTTAGGTTTAGCAAAAGCTACCATCACACCAAAATCAAGACCACAACCATCTAGATTACTTCTCCCACACCTTTGATCCGATAATTATATACTTTAATTTTTTTTTTTGGATTGCTCTATCCACTTAGCTTGCACATTAGACCATGAGAGAGCAAAATTTCGAACAACAAAACAATCACAAAATAAAACAAAGAACATCAATAAACACATACAATTGGGCCTCCAAATTAAAATATAAAGGAGAAATCCATTTTTGATGAGAAATAAATACATAGTTTTTCTTAGTATGTAAATAGAATCATAAAGATGTAAGGGATAAATAATTGGATGAACTAAAATTTTCAATTTACAACCCAAGAGGTCATGGTTTTGAGAGCCGGAAATGTAGTATTCATTAATTATAAGGATCAGAATAGCTCAAAATAATGATGAATATATGAAGGAATTAAGGCCTAAGTTATTGTGTGAGTAAAATTAATGTTAGAAGTCATGGTAAGAACTTGCTTCTTGCCTTCATGATGCTCACTTATTATGTCTCTATGCTTGGCCACATTCTGACCGAGAGAATGAAGTCGTGCCCGAGGTGTTGCTAGCCATGGGGTGTTTCTGACCGTGTAATTTTGTTGCCCATGGCTTACTCTAGTATTGGGCATGCGTTGTAAA